TAACCGCCAGAGCTCCGTGGGAGAGAGCGGCACACACGCACACACACGCTGTCACACGCGTGCACACACGGATGCGTTGAGATAATGAGGTCCTTTTGTCATTTCAATATTTGATCTTTGCAGATGATTAGGTAGGTTGTTATTTTGCAGAATATCTACTCAGCGTACGTCAGCCTTTGTTTGTGTGTAAATGAGGCTTTGTTTGTCTGACTATACATAGACTGTGCACATTTATTTGTGCTGCCTTGAATGACGTCCTTTTTATATTTATGCATCAGTCAAATCTTCTCGAATAGAGTTTATTGTGTGTGTGTGTGTGTGTGTGTGTGTGTGTGTGCTACACCTACAGATCCAGGATGTAGCAGAGCAAGGAGTGATGTTTGTGGGCTTTCTCCAGCAGCCGGGTGGAGGACCCAGCTACTTGGGGCACTGGGATCCTGAAGAGCTGTCCTCCTTACATTCAAGCCCTTCACCCATACATCGACACCCCTTCAGCGCCAACAACAGCCCAACGGACCCCATAGAACCACATCATAATGACGCAGAACCTGACCATCACCCCTTTGAACCTCAAGAGTTCGATCATGAAGGTGTAGAAAATAACACACAGCACCACAAGCCAAAAGAACCGGACTTCAGCCCGCTGAAACCCATACAGGAGTTAGAGCTTCACCGAGAAGAGTCCAGTGAGCAAATCCAGACCTCACAGATCAGCCTCAAAGAGTCACTAGAATCAACAAACCAACCCCAAAATCACAGCAAACCCAGTGTAGACACAGTTCAGCGGGGTTTAAATCAAAACCCAACAGACGCCCATAGGAACCAGGGGTGTCCCAGCTCTCCAGAAGCTGCTGGTATAATCAGACAGATTCTACCAGACCTCAAAGAATCCACAGAGAAACGTTTGAACCTTTCCAACCAGAGAGACGGACAAAGTTCAAGCTCCGACAGCTGGCCCAGCTCTCCAGAACTGGACGGAAACCACAAAAGAAAGTCCAGCTTCACAGATGGGCAGAGCCGATTGACGACGCACAACAACAACCATATCCGGCTCAAGAGTTCAGAGAAAGAGAAGAATGCAACTTCACCACCAGCGCAGGGTGGTAAGTAACCCGTTTCCTGTTTGTACGTGGGTCAGTGGACAAATCATCTTAATGCAAAGTTCTATTTGGCGTCTTTATTTGTGGATTTTTTTGTTTGTGTGCCTTTAGGGATGCAGCTCTTTGCCTTGTACAACCACACAGGGGAGCTGAACACTTCTCTGAGGTTCTACTCACTCAGGGTGCCACTGTTGGTACAAAAGGAAGCCGGGCTAATCACGGAAGTTGACACGCACTGGCTCGACCACATGACTCAGCATTTCACCAGCGGTGCGCACCTCGTCGACGGGTTTTTCCACCTCGGAGATGATAACGGTGTGTTTCATGGCCGTAGCAGTCAACTACTACTACTGCTGCTGCTGATGATGATGTGATATTAGTCAGGCATTTAGAACCTGTAAAATCGGGAAAAAAAAAGTGACAAATGTACCATGAAGTGAGCAACTTTAATCTTGGCAGCACGAGTATCAATTTAGACCCAGTGGCGCAGCTAAATTAAGTCTTACATCCTCCCAGAAAAACTCACAATGGTTTTCCTGAAAACAGCTACTTGCTGCGACTGGACACAAGGTTGATGAGATCAGTAAGATTGAACCAAAACAGTGAAGTCGAATCCCTGAAAGAAGCTAAAACGTTCTGTAAATCTACAAGGAACTGCAGAGATGGGTGACAAGTATCTGTGGGTTCACCACTTTCACATCTATTAATATGAACATATTGATTATTGCAGCTTTAAAGTATCTATTTCACCGTACCTCCTCACCTTTCACTGGTTCTTGGCAAGAGCAAACCGCTGCTCTGGCTGTAGATCTGTGCTCCGCTGCTGGGTAATGGATGATATGCATGGACTGACGTGCCATAAATCCACGGCTTATACTATAAGTCACTGTTCAGTCACCCATGCAATAAGTCGGCTTAAGCCAAAGGGAACAGGGGATCAATAGTGAGAGATTGGAGAGTGGAGATGAGCGTGTAACTCCTGTCTGACTCACATACGTCCTTCCTCTGTTTATCTGACTCTGTCTCTAATTTGTCCCGCTCCTTCAGACAATGGGGTTTCATCTGTGGATAGTGTGTTCATCTTCCAGAGCTCTGCGGAGGAGACCGCAAACGCCTCCTACGATGCCATCGTGGTTGAGCAGTGGACCGTTGTTGATGTGGGTCTTTTGAGTTTTTAATACTCTGGTGAAGATGTGCACTTTGAGAAATCCTTTGCGATTGAAGTCTTAAGCTCTTTTCTGTCAAACATTACATAAGAGTGGAGCTGAAGGAAAGTATGTGCTTGGGCGTGTGTGCTTGTGGCTGAGCTTAAATTTGCCTACCTACACTTGGGTACTGTGCTTTCTTTTTTTCTTCCCTCGTGTGGGGTTTGCACTGTATGTGTCTGAGTGCTTTTCTGTCTCATGTCCAGGGTGTCGTGGTGAAGACGGACTACATCCCCTTGCTCCAGTCTCTGGCTCCGTATGGATGGAGGCTGATGTGTGTGTTACCCACACCCATTGTCAAGACAAACAGGTACAGAACTACACCCCAAGATACCACCGTTACAACCATAAACTCACCTGTCCTCTGCTTTCCCTTCACATTCCATCACTTTGAATAACACAGCACACCTGCGTGCTGCTTTGTTGATTTTAGAGTCATTATTCTTTTGTCTTAAACACTTTCATTCTTTTTGGGATAAGGACTGACAGCGTAGCTTAAAAGAAACCAGGACAGGTGGTTCGAGATCTGACAAAGCGCCGTCATATGCTCATCTCGACATGAAACCGCTTTTGAAATCCGACGGAGCCGCAAACAAAAACACAGTCGCTGATGTGCTGTTGTCTTGTAACCTGTCACTTTACCAACCGCAGAGAACAGACACCTGATTTCAATGAAAGTAGCGACATGCGAGCTCCTCAGATTATAACATAATAGGTAACGGTAGTAAAAGTGCTGCTCCCTTCCTTCCGCAGTGACGGGAGTTTGTCGACCAAGCAAATCCTCTTCCTTCAGAGACCCGTTTTGCAGCGCAAGAGAAAAGACTTCAAGGTTTGTTTCCCCTTTGTCTTCCATCTTTGTAGCAAATCTGTCACTTGTGCCTTTAGGATACGTGCTTTATGTCACAGAAGGTGCCATTTAAAAAGTTGTGTTGCTAAATATGGGATGTACAGCAAATTTGAAACCGCTCAGGAAAAGTCTAATAATAGGCGAAGAGTACACTGTACAGGAAAGAGGCATCAACGAAAGAGGCTTTGTTGTGGTTTGGCAGGTGTCTGGAGAGATGGAAAGAAAGACACGGCACTAAGCGCAAAACTGTCTCACACACATCTATTTGTTTTCAGATGCTGAACCTCAGGGGTCGCAGCAAGGCGAAGAAAAAATCTACTGGAGAAACGCAAGAAGAGAGAGAGAACATGTCCCCACTGATGGAGACAGAGATGGACAGGTTGAGAAGAAACACAAGAGAGGAGGAGGAGGAGGAGGCAGAGAGGAGGAAGAGCAGGGACAGCGGAAGGAGCGAAGGAGCGAGCCTTCAGAAAGGTGGAGAGGAGCTGGAAGAGGACGCATGGCATCAAAGGGGCTTCTCGTACCTTTCAGGGAGCAGGGCTTCTGTTGAGGAAGAGGAAACAGACATTGATAACATCCCTCCGCAGTCGGAGAGATGGACATACGTGTGTCAGAGGGATGATGGAGGGGTCAAGGAGGAGCTGAAGACGGAGGAGCGCATCAAACAGCAGCTGTTTTCCGGCGTCTGTTGACACATTGGGCACAAAGCAGGCGAGGAGGAGCCGAGGCCTGAAAAGTTTACAAAAAAATAACTTTGTTGATCTGGATTTTTGTTTTTGGTCCAACCCAGATGTGGTCGGTCATACCGTTACTAGTCATCGTGTGCTGTTACCTTCGCTTCAGTCTGCTCTGTTGCGAGTCTTTGAGGTTGTAGCTCCCGTGTTTGGGGAAGTGTTGTGCAGTTCTCTGCTTTGGGTCAGTGTTGCTATTTGATGTATCCTTATATAAAAAGAAACTAATAGAGTACAACCTAGAGCAAGTCTCCAGTCCAAGCATTTGGTGTTATTTTCTTGTATTTTACTTCTTTCTTGTAATAGGACTGTTAAAAAGAGAGTACTGATTTCAAGGGGCTCACTGTATTTTTATACGTAAAGTATATTATTTCAAATAGAGACAAGAGGGGGAAAAGTTGCCACAGGGTTTGGTAGTAAATTGCATTAGAGCCTGACTGATACACGCATTGGCCAATTATAGCTTAACACAGAGATGTGTATTGGTATCAGCTTAAATAATTAACTATGAAATTGCATTACAGAAATTGGTCTTGAGTACTGTACTGTATTTTTTCAAATATTTAATTGAATGCACTCTCGATCACAACTTAGACAAACATTTTTAATAAGGATCCCTTAAATGTGGTAAGAAAAATGTATTGCAGTTAAAAATTCTCTGTTGGTATCGGGCAGCCTCTACACCGCATTGAGATATTAGATGTTACAATTTATTGGTCTTAAACATTGAAGGCTCAGTTCATTACATCATTAGCTCTAGTTGAATCTAGACAGTTTTGGTTTTCTTTGGCCAGGTTTGTGGTGCTCGTTAACTACATGAAACCAAAACCTCTCTTTCCAGAAGTGATGTCCCAGATACTCCTCAGAACACAGTTCCTATAAAAGCTGATCACAGTAAGGTCTGTTGATGTCCATGAGAGTAATGAAGCAGAATTATCAGACCGATATCTCAAACGTTGGATACAAGAGAAAAAGATTTTTGTAATTTGGGAGAACTGACCTTTAAAAAGGTTTCTTCTTTGGGAAAGAATGTGTAAATTAGAATCAACTATTTATTACTTATTCCCTGGACCACCTGTGACGTGTCTCAGTAGTGTAACATGCGAGTCTTTATATGAAAGCAGAGGCCAATAAAGTGTTTGAAAACAGATTGACTCAATTTCTTTTATTTCCTTTAAATCTCACATTATCTGCACAAACAAGACGAAACGCAAAAAACAACTCGAAACTGAGTCTCAACCGCGTCGCCCCCACTGAGATACGACAACAAGACGCTCGTAACCATCTCCAAGGGATGTTCAGTGATCCAAGCCAATCAGAGACCACCTGGAGGTTCCATTACAGCGCACCATGGGACACTCACTCCACCCCGGCACGAGAGTCGTTTATGTGGATGTGTGCGATTGAGTAAAAGTCGATGTCAGATGAGCTCCGTGTATGTGAAAGTGTGTGATAGAGCCAGTGACACTTGCCAATATGTGGGAGACCGATATGTGACTCTGAAAATACACTTGGTGTGAAGTCTGCATGGGAGTAAAATGTGGAAAAAAGAAATTGCTCCGATGTAACTCAGCCAACCAACTCATCAAATAAATAGCTCTGAGTTATATATACACACAGTTTAACACTTCTAAGATCACATGATCAAATCAGCAGAGGTATGTTGATAGAAGGAAATGAGTCACTCGTGTAAAATAATAGTACAGATTGCTAGTTTGCACCGATCTTCTGTGTCCTGGAAACTTAAAACAATAGTTTGACATTTTGGGAAATGCACTTATTCACTTTCTTGCCGAGAGTTAGATGAGCAGATCAATACCACTCTCTCATCTGTCCGCTACACATGAAGCTAAAGCACTCTGTTGGAAGTTTACAAAATCTTATATTAACATATATAATTATATTACATCTTGCTTGTTTCATCCATAAAAAAAAAATATATAGTTTAGCACTTAACCCCACAACGTGTCGTTTTTACTCTACACTGAGCTAACTCTTGGCAGGGGCGTATTTCCAAAAAATGACAAATTATTGCTTCAAGCCTTTCTTGCATATTAGTGCTTTAACAGTTAGGTTGAAGTTCGGACTTAACATCACCCATTAACTATTAAGCAAATACAGGCTGGCAATGAGATCCGATATGAAGATGTGTAACAGCTGTGGAATGATGTGTCGTTCAAACACACAGATGCAGATTTGTTGTAATATTCAGCAGTGAGCTGAATGATGTCGTGCTTAAATTGAGATTTTACAGTCTGCGCAGTCCTCCTTTTTAGATAATAAGAAATTAAACTCCTCCCTCGTCTATTGTGAGTCAGCTGCTAGCTTTAGAGTGGGCGGTCCCAGCGGTCCATCGCAGATCAGGCACAGGTTGCAGTAGCAGCGATCGGAGGGTGAATTTTCTCATTTAAATGTCCTTATCACTGGAATCTTTCACTTGGTTTCCATTCTCACCATACACCCCCCCCGAGGGAGGTTTCTGAGAATGCTAAAAAGGTTCTACCACCACTTCTCGAAGAGGATTCTGTCTTTCGGGAGGCCGAAGTCCATGAGGGTTTTTGAAAGTGCTTCGATCATGGGCCGGGGCCCACACAGGAAACACAAAGTCCTCTGCGGGTCCACATGAGCCCGCAACTCCTCTTCTGTGATTCTCCCGCCTGGTCGAGACACAAGGGAAGTCAATCAATGAATCAAGAGTCCCTTCTTTGATAGAACCTGTTCTCCATGACGACGGACATAAATCAACAAAGACAGGCTGTGGTAGAATGTGACAGTCACTAAATCATCCCTACGAGCAAAGAAAAGTGTCCACGTGTAGTGTGTGTGGGCACTACTTACGGTTGATGAATGGCTGGAGGTGCGAGTCCACATCTGTGCTCTGTTGCGTGACGTGGAGGTCACAGGAGAGCTTGTCGGGAAACTCCCGACACACCTCGATGATGGAGCTCTAGGAACACAGACGGTAGTTGAGGACCCAACACGCTGCGACAGACCCGCCCATATATATTCCAGACATGTGGACACTGTTGCGTGTGCAGCTAGCCAGAGATAATCAGAAGTTTAAAAAAAAAATCAGTGTCCTAAACACACCTTGAAGAGCAGCTCCTGGGTGTTGTTGGCGCTGTAGCAGAGGTGAGCAGAGCCTATCTTGTACTCCCGCCCACCAGAGGCATGGTTGAGATGCAGCAGACCGGCTGTGTGCAACAGGATCGAGTACAAGGGGTTGATCCCGACGCCGCCGGCCAGCAGCAGCAAATCCACGGAGGGGTCAGAGGGCGACGGGTTGAAGAAGAAGTCCCCGCCGACACGCATGGCCACTCGAGAGCCCACCGCACACTGAGAGGAGAGACAAACGGATGCCGACGGGTCATTTAGACACATTTCTCAATGCTCAGTAGCTGAGATACATCGTTTGAATGCAAACACACAACAAGCCTAAGCTGAGGTACGGGTGAAAGCAATTTCACAAGTTGTGCAGAGACGATCTTTTGAAGTAACAAAAAAAAAAAAAACAACAAGAGCAGATAAATACACCTTCATCTGCTTTTGTACACATGTGAGCACACACAAAACACGCGCGTGATAATGCTGGCATCCTTTATCTGCTGTCGTGGGCCCCGCACTACTCCTGCTCACAGAGAGCAATATCAAACAAATGGATCATCAAACGTTGCCGGAGCAGAGAGCTGTAAGTCTCAGAATGCTCAAACACAGCACACTGCTTTCTGATGCTTATTTACACAAGGCACGGTAGCTCAAAGCTGTTTATTAGGGCACATCATCAACCACGGAAGCTGCAAGAGTACAGACGTGGAAGAGAAAGGCAAGCAGGAAGGATACACTATTCATACTTACACAACCACTCACACCTACCACTACTGGATTAAGAAAAAAAACAACTGCCTTTTGGAGTAAATCCTTGCAGACAAAATACGACTGTATTTGTATTACCTTTATTTATGCATTCACACAACCACCGTTCACCCTGTCGGCTTGCTCTACACACAAACGCAAACTTCTCTGGCGGTTTTAGCTTCATTATCACAATTCTACTTCAGAACTACTGAGCAGGCAATTTTCAAATTTGCTGAGTCACTTTAACTAGCCCATGGCAGCAATCGCACATGATTGAAAAACATCAGGGGTCACGTGGCTGTTTGCTAACGACACCTAAAAGAAAAAACTGATGAAACTGATGATGATTTATGTGGTTTAATGAACTAAATGTTTAGCTGGGAGTGTTTCGCTAGCTTTTAATGTGACCTTTTGGTGCAGGTAGGTGCTCTGATTTGCCATTTTCCTTTTCTTAGAATAACCACAGGTGTGATTTTGTGGCAGTCTTCCTTTCCTAACTCTAGAACACCAGAAACCTTTTCTCAACAGCCTGATTGCTCCACTCGTTCCCTTTCTGCATCTCTTTTTCTGAAGAAACACTTCTTCTCCGTCTCAATGGCAATAGTCTTCCCAGGGAAATGACCACTCTGTAATTTTGGGAATGTTCCGGACCGCACTCCTCTGCTCTACTCACCATGGTGTGGATCCAGTGTGCTGGAGGGTGTTTGGTGTATTTGACGGCCAATTCGACGACGCCCTCCCTCTGCAGCAAACCCGGGCTGGAGCACATGGAGAAACCTCCCACCGTCTCCACGCCGGGAATGAAGAAGTCCACCCTGCACACACAAGTCAATATTTCATGAACTAGTCAACTCATTTAGTCTATATAAGTGGATGTTATGAACATGATATCCATGTCAAGTTACAATGTTCAGTAAAACTATTTGGAGTTATAAAAAAAGATGTATTCCAGTGGTTGAAATCGGCTACTATGACTGACAATGGAAGCTTGTTTTGACATTATTGTATTGCATTACATACATGTCGTTATAAAACAATCACTTCGTTTTAACCTGTATTCTTTGTGTTTTCATACAAAAGTCACATTATTCTCATTGGAAATGTAGCTTACTGATCAGATTTCTAAACAACAGTTAATTGAAGAGCGAAAACATGCTGACCCTTGACCTCAGTAGAGGTGGCAGCCTGTTCCAGAAAGCAAACTAGAACAAAGCCAAACCAGATGGAAAGTTTCCTGCTAGTTAGTGTAGACAAAGTGTAGCAACCCAGTCTCACAGCCAATGTGGCAGCGTTTGTCCATCAACACGTGGAGGAGAGAACCCCTAGAAGAAAACAGCAATACTCAACAACACAATGACCCTCTGTTACACGAGAGGGAAACGCTGACTTCTCAACCCTCGGAGGCATCATGAATATGGATCCGCTGTGAAGACGCACACATATGTTCCACCCACCTCCACCTCCACCACCTCCTCCTCCTCCTCCTCCTCCACCTGGAGACAAACAACTAAACAGTCCTGTTTCTCTGAAATACTGAAAGTCAAGGATTTCCATCTATTTACATTCATTCTCAGCTGCCGCAGGGTTTCATGTCTCACCACCACCGCCCACCTACAGTATGGGCTCATGTACAGAAACTGCAGGGTACTAATTAACATTTACAGACAGAAAAAAAAAGAAGCTCTGCACTCATTGTTGAAGTAACTTGCTATTATGACTATAAGGGACTCGCTGAAAGTTAACTTGCGAGGGAAAACATTTCCCAACGTCGTGCACCACTCAAACACGAGCCAGAGAGTCTCAAACACCTTTCAGGTCAAAGCTGCAAGAGTGCATTCAACCCAGTGCAGTTACCTTCACAAATCTACGAGGATACTTGAGCTTATCAAGTCCCCAACTATTCTCATCCTTACCCGAGAAGAGGCTCTCAATAATTCATAAGCTTTGATCTTTCTTTAAGCTGATGTGATGTATTCCACAACAGCTGTTTTATTTTCATCAACATTAATCTTGAGCTGTTTGTTAACTTATTTTTTTCCATCAAAATGATGTGAGAAAGGAAACCCAACAGGCCAACGGTAGGACAAAGCAAACACAACGCCACCACCGTGTGGTTACTGTTAGTATTACAGCACTGTCAAGGGCACCAGAGGGCTGTTTCATAAAGCTCACTCAGACACTAACTTAGACCTATTTGGCAGGTTCTGTTTCATGAAGGCAGTGTTACTAATGGTAACTTCTGCTTTGAGCCTAACTGGTCAGAGACTAGATCAAGGACGCTGATGTTCACGCAATGTCGGCAGAATTGGGAGAACAGGGGGGGGGGTTCATCCAACAGAGGGGTCCCAAAACTAGTCTTAAAAACACATCAATACAGCAGCTGAGCCCCTCAACAATGCGGTTGACCTAAAACGTGACCCCTCTCGTGTCACAACACAATGCGACAGTGACCCTTAAACTGCTTTACTCACCACTGTCCTGCTTTGAAGCTGAAGTCTGGGTGGACAGCTATTCTCACACGTTTCACCGTCTCGGACTCATCCATGATGCCACATACTTGGGCTGGATACAGAGCCTGTGTGAGGCAACCAGTACACAAACAAACAAACAAACAAACGCACACACAGAGGAGTGGGTGAATAGCCTTAGGATGGACTCTCAGCAATGTATACTGTTAAAAAGTGCCACATGATACAGACGAGGTGAGTGTAATCAACAAGAAAATATCAACTCACATTTTGTCTGTAGTTGCTCGATGTCTTCTCTAGATGGTCCATTTGTCTTTCGGAGGACATATTTCTTCTGAAATAAAAATGGAGGTAGTCTTTGTAACATGCTTTGTATGTTAAACATTCTCTAAAGAAGTAGAATATTCACAAACTACAAGTGGACTTTGCATCAACACACCTTAAATGGCCAGTTCACCTGAATTATACCTCACACCTAATTGTGTCTAGCCATGCGGATAGTTTGGGTTTTCTGTGGGTATGTTCTCATGTGTTGGCCATTGACATTTCTGCTGTTGCCCCAATATAACAAAAGGAAAGCCAGCTGATTCACGCATCACCACATACAATCTAAACTAGTGTGGCTGTTACAGGGCTGAGGGTAGTTCCCTTGCTGTCTGTCAGTCTCCACAGTGCCTCAGCAGAGACCAGCCAGGACACACAATGAACACAGCCGGCACTTTCCAGGTGAATCTCACCTTGTAGCGGAGCTGGGGCCCAGAAGCCGCCAGCAGAGGAGACCGGGGGCGGCGGGACTCGAGCGAGTGAAGCTTCGGGCAGTTGAGGACCAGAAACAGCGGACGCTCATCGCGAACCTGGGCTGACATCAGGAAAAGAAGAGCAGAAACAAGACAACTGTCACGCGAGGTGAGCACCACGTGTTCTTTTCTTATCGAGTGATAAAATCACTTGTGCGACAAGCCGACGAATCAACAGCTGAGCCCCCCCCAACAATAATGCAGCTCAGCTGAAGAGTCACGAACTCACAGAATGATCTAGTATCTCTTAAAGTCCCGGTGCAACGGACGTCGGAGCGTTCTCCGTGTTAAGTTAATTAAATGACACATTAGGGTTCACTAGTCGACGGTTACATCACCAGGACGTCAGTTTTCATAATGCTCGCTAGCTTTAGCTAACTAGCTATCAAATGCCGGTTTGTTATTTAACACATACAGCGAGCTCCTTTTCTTACCGAGATAAGATGGACGTCTGTGTTTTGTCATGTGGTATTCATATTTATCTTCGGAGTAACCTTAGTAATCATGTTTAACGTGACATGACTCTACTGATGTTTTCTTCTTCTTCTTCTTCTTCTTCTTCTTGGACCTGTACTGCGGCTAACGTCTTCTTCTACGATGTGGAGCGCTTGGCATTCAATGTATTGCAGTAGCGCCCTCCTCTGGCGCGTTGGAACACACACACGCGCACCCACACATACACACACACACTGTTTAAATTGATATGTAACTAAAAAATGTTCAGAAATAGGAGGGCCGGATTCAGAATTATTAATAACCTTTAAAATTATATATTTTTCTGATATACGTTTAAAGTCGTACCAATCAATATTTTAATATTAGTAACAATTAGGATGTCTGCAGGAATTGTCCTGCCCACAACTTGACTGTTGGGTTCACTCTCAATGCTCTCATTAAAGTTGTTACAACCATTATACCAAAATATAATTAGATTGTCTATGCAATAATCTCTAGGTGATCTTTAATCACAAATAAAATACCATATTTGGTGTGAGGTTGTTTATTTGGCTTCATCTTGAAATTAAATGTGTTGATGGAGTCTGGGAGCTCACTTAACTGGCAGTTCTTTGTCCAGGTACACTTTTAGGTCTTTTTAGATTGAAAAATGTAAATGCATATGTGTAAAACAGATGATAAAGTGTAAGAAACAGATGATCAAGAATCTAATTTGGCTCCTTCTGGTAAATAACAGCGAGTGGGCCGAGCACCGCTCTATTCTGCAGAAATCTATTCTGTCAGTTTGAGTATCATGCTTTAAAATCATGTGGCGTCTTTGTAAGATGCTCTAAAAGTGCTAAAATTAAAGCCTTCTTCCTGTAGCTTATAAATACATTTCATAGTTTTAATTATGTATGAGTCTAATACATAATTAAAACAACTTGTCACGATATATGTGTCCTATCGGGGAAAAGTTGTATCTCACTAAAACTATTTCATGGGATTGTTGGTAAAATTGAGGTGTGTCAGTGGTTAAAATAAGTCCACAAAATGGTCCGGCCTCACTACTTGTTGCATGTCTTTGTGGTTATGTGTCTTTACTTCTACAGTTACAAGGAAATGTTAGCACTAGAAATAGAAGAGTAGAACAAGCATGACAAGTCTCCAAAGTGAAGGCTACACAGGCTGGTTTAGGATGAAAGATACAACTTAAATTAGGCAGTTTCCCATTAATCATGTAGTATAGTGGTTTAAGAGCAGGGGTTTTGTAATCAGTGAGTCCTCATAAGTACAGTTTATTCAACCAAATACCTGTATGTATGTGTGCATAGCTGCATGTTAATAACTGTGTTTGCTGTCTGTTATAAGAATAGTACACAAAGAAAATGTCCAATAACTGCAAGATTCCTTTCTGCATTCTTGACAGTTTCATCTTCAGCATCTGCGGTGAAGCTCAGGTGAGTTTCAGATGGTTTACTCGCCTTTTAATAACTCCAAAAGGCACAATGGAAAACCGGCCCAACAATGCAATAGGCCTACAACGAAACTCATTACATTCACAAGAACAGGACTCGGCCTGCTCCACCCAAACGCTGGACTGTTTCTGTGTTTAGTTAGTACAATTCCCTCTTCTATTTGACCCATATAACCATCAGCTGTGAGCTGGAATGTGGGTCATTTGTGTACCTGTGAGGTGACCGGTGTTTAAATAGCCCTTAAGTGTTTGTGCTGTCAGAGACGGCCATAAACCGGTTCAGTGCTTGTTACTATCCTTAGATACAGTAGCTACTAACTTCCTTTGAGAGGATTTTGTGAGCTGACTCTACCAGTCCAACTGGCTGCCTTCCTGCTCTCTTTCCCATGGCCAGCATGCCACAGCTCAACCTGTTGTTCAATACTGCACAATGACGGATCATTTTCAGGTTCGTCATGTACCAGAGACTCACCGGACTCATACGCACAGGGCACACGCGTGATGCAAGCACACTACCGTCATCACAAACACACACGAAAGCACACGCGTAGATGGGCGCAGGTATACCTGTCTGCATCTGAGTCAACATAAACATTAATACACAGTTAAGTGAGTCCCTTTGTGTGTCTATTATGTCTCTAAATTGGTCTCATCCTATAAACTTGCAAATAGCAGCTATTTATATGTACTAGGATCAGGCCTTTTTGAGATTTAGAAATCATTTTTGCATGCTGAATTAAATTCCAGTTACTAACAATAAATAAAAATGACAATTTTACTTCATGTATCTGCGATAAATAGGAAAATAATATATGTTTTTACACTTGACAGTCCAAACGTGTTTGTTATTGACTCCAGAAGTTCAGTTCAGAAGTTTGCAATGGAATAAAGTCAACCATCGCTGTGGAGAGTATTCCCTCATACGATCTCTGATTAGTTTACACACATTCTACACAAGCCTCTCAGTCTCAATTGGCAAATGCTCTGATTTCACCCTGAGGAAATCCCTCAGTCAAAACTGGTACATGTTCAATGAGACATACGTCTCTGCATGAATGTTTTCTTTATCTGGCATGGTTGAAGTTAATGATCAACTTTCAGAGAGACTAACTGTGGTTTGTGGAGAGGAAAGCAGATTGGCAGATTTGGGACGGAGGCAGAGTAAAACTGAGAGGCGATGTGAAAAGATAACATCCTGTGATTGTGATGCTGTTTAGACCAGAGGAAGTTATCTCCATGCGGGCTGTGGGTGAGGAGGACAGCAGGACGTGTCGAAATGATTCATCGAATATTTTAAGTAATTCATCAGGTAGAAAATGTCAAACACGGCAAAGATGAACCGATTCCAGCTTCTAAATGTGAGGATCTGTTTCTCTTTTTTCGAATGAAATTGAATATATGTGACAATACTAGTCGTCATCTTTGGCCCGGAAAAAATGTGATGGGCAATTTTCAGATGTTTCACTTATCAAGCAATTAATAAAGTTATCATAAGAGATACAACCGATTAACTCACAATGAAAATAATCATTCGTTGCAGCACTAGAACGTTAATCTGAAGGGTCATCTGGATCTGCATTGTGTGTGTGTATTCATGTGTTTATTTATCCATTGCACTCATGCTTACCTGTGTGTGAAGGATCAAGTACAATGAAGGACAGCATTCTGTGTGTGGTGGAGAGAGGAAATGACTCAGTGGACTTTCGACTGGGATGGGAGACGTGAGGAGAGGGAGTCCCTGAGGTATGCAGGCCAACGGCTGCTGAAGGAGCGAAAGAGAGAGAAACTCACATTCCGGTTGCTACAACAACTTTCACTCTAAACATTGGAGGAGGAAGACAAAAAGGCATTACCTGATTCCTCCCCCTTGTCTTCTGTCTTTTTCTGAGATTCAGGCCTTGTCTTCACAGAAACTATTTGATAATCCAGAGGCATACCGAGACAGAACAGCGTCACGTCCTGTCCTCAGCTGACAAACTTGGCTTAAACTCAATAGATAGTTGAGATTTAGATTGTCCCTTTTGTGATGTATTTTAATCCAAATGACAATATTGCACAATATGTCCCAATCCTCTACAAAGCTCTGATTGTGAATCAGTGGATTAATAAGTGGTGACTGCTTAAACGTTTGTGCACACATGAACTGTATGTAAACATGTGATTGTGTTTTTAAGGATGTGCACCTTGAGAATGTTCTTATTTCAAGGAGGTTTGTATTACTGAGATTTTGCAGTTTCACATAATGTCCGTGTTGGGTTTATATTTTCTGTTTTTATAATGAGGCTGTGGACAAATGTATAACTTGCATCACTTATAAGCCATCAAAAAGAATAATTTACACAACGCCATGTTGAGAAATAAAAATAATTTGGCTTTTCATGACATGCTCTGTCTTGATAGCTTTAGACCATCAAGATGAGCTGCAGGGCATGTGGACCTATACTGGAAGAAGTATTCAGATCCTTTATCAAAGTAAAAGTAGAAATACAAGAATGCACAAATACGCTGTTACAACTACAAATCATGCATCGCAAATGTTACTAAAGTTAAAGTACAACATTATCAGCAAAATGTACATACATATAAATAAAGCAAACAAAAAGGCCCATTTATATTATTGTATTGATATTCATGAATGGGTCTTTACCCTTGTAGCTGGTCCAGGTGGAGCTTAATACTACTTTCCACCACTTCCATTATTATAATGATCATGTATTAACGTATTATAAAATGACTGTAGATATTACAGCTTATTAGAGAGTGAGAGACTCATGTCCCGTGTATGGACGAATAAGATACAAAAATTAGTAAACAGATGAGTAGATGTATTTTTTCTCAACCTGGCAACCCAAAAGTTACATTAAAACATATGTAAATTATTTTTCAACAGTTCATTTTTTAGACAATGATACCCCATAAGCGTAATACAAACCCTGTTTAACATTTTATAATTGTTTCTTAGTTATTAATAAATCATACACACAACTGAGTGTTGTCTTCTTTTAAACATATACCATCTGTATGTCTGGATACATGTTACTCTATAAATACTGGGCTGTTGATGATGCAGCATGTGTTGAATTGTGATAACTGGGAATGTCCTGGTAATGTGTCATTCAGACAGACTTAAAAACTAAATGAAACTGACCCCATGCAGAGTTGGACTTGAAAGTAGAGTGCCAAACGCCAGCGGAAACATCCGGTAGAGTCACGCGTGACAAGTAGCCCGGCAGGTGAAACCGGCGCCAGGCCAAACTGCTTCCCCTTACTTAATGTGAATTTACAACAGCAACAATTGCACGTCTAGTGCAGCAAAGTTATTTCAGGAGTCTCCTGACTTATTCCGGTCGCACGCCCCCTCTGGTCATGTCCGCACAGGGTCTTAAGTAAAACCTTGTAGCCTAACTATACTGCCGACTAGTCTGCAGCCTGTTTTAATCGGTGGCTATTAATAACATGGAATTAAATAAACCATTCCATTGCATTAATTTGCATAACAACGCACAAGTCAGTGTGGGCCTAAATAACTGGGCCTCTAAAATTAGAACATAATTTGGCTCTCTGGCTTGGGTTGGGTTCAGGTGATACAAAGGGCCCTTTTTTAAATCTGTCACTGAAGAGGCGCAACCTCCCATGGGGTATGTTGCTACGCAACCACAAGCCCCGCCTACCATCATCGTACATTCACCTGAGCAAGAGAGCTCACGTGACAGACCCTGAGAGTTCATCCAATCAGGAGTGAGGACAGGTGCTTGGAGAAGAGAGTTTCGGAGGCGGAACCCTGCTGGTTCAGTGGAAGAAAACCGCTCCTTACATAAGCGTCAATTAATTTGCAATGTTCTTCAGAATTGCATAAGAACAGTAGAGGTATTCGACGAGAGGAACTGGAGAAAAATTCAATAATTTGGAAGTGGGAGATGCAAGGAGGCAGCACACCTGGCTCGTGCGTAATATGGATACTGCTGCCACGGTCTCTTGAAGAACTGCTGTCACACTAGTGCTCCACCACTGAAGAAGAAGACACCGACTTGTTTTGTGGATTTACATCTCAGAACAATCAAAAGTGTGACACTTACACTTTGCTGCTGGTCGTTTTGAGTGTCCACACACTACACTACACTACAGTAGCTCAGGTAAGAATTCAGTCAAGAGTCAGCTTTGTTTTGCGCATTGTTCACCTGTAATTCACGGCTTGGGTTTGCTCCTCTGTTCTCACGACTCATTAAACCAGTTTTACAGATTAAGTAACACTGGTTATTCTCAGGATTAGCTGGTAATATGTTGTCTTACCAGTGGGAAATCGCTGCTAGTGGAGACATTAAATCGCATTCCATTTTAAAATCATGATATTCAAACAGAAAATAGGATTTGTGATGAGGGTGAGGATGAAGATGTGGAGCCTGACGAATGTTAGGACAATAATGTGTCAGTGCGACATTTTATGAAATCAAAGAACATATTGCAGACACCATTTATAAAGGTATAATTTGATGTTTTACTAGACATGAGAGAGTTCAGAACATGAAGACCTCACAGATGAGATCTCATGACTTAAAACAATGCTGATGCAGAGGAGAAGGTCTCAGCTGAATTACTGACGGTATGTGTTTCCTGTTCCAGCGCCCTCCAGTCAAAGATGACAGACAGGGCCCCATGGTGGAAGGCTTTCATGCCAAAGAAGAAGAGCGGAGGCTCCAAGGACACCAGTTCATCCCACACCTTTGACGTTGACTTCGACCCTTTTGCACAAGCCGCTGAGAAGCAAAAAGACCCCACAGCCTCCAAGACCGGCGGCGACCAGTCCCTGTCTCATCAAGAGTCCAACAAGACCTCCAGCATCCTCCGTAATGACACCTATGACGACTCCCACCTGGAGTCTGTCTTCAACGAGCAGACGTGTCGCAGGAACATGAACGTGTCACGTTCGGGCCGGTTCAAGGAGAAGCGGAGGGTGCGCTCAAGCCTTCCTGTACAAAACAAAGAGACAGAGAATGTTGCATCAGGGAGGGAGGACATGCGGTGACAGTGAGGAGGAGTAGATGATCAAAGACTGCTTTGTTTTGAAAGATGCTTGAAGAAAAAGAGAGGGCTTTGAGTTCATGAAGATGCTTCATTTTTTTTGAGGCATTCCAAGAGGTCTGCTGTATGTTTGTGATGATGAAGATGACAAGGAGCATTCAACTTTTAGCACAATACTGCAAGAATGAGGTTATGTGGTCCATGAAATATTGGAAATGTGGACATTTTTGTTGATAGACCTTTGCCAGAAGGCCACAGAAACAATGATAAATGACCTGAAATCAATTATATTTGTTCTTAGGGTGGTTACCGAACCATTTTGCCAACAATATCCCGCAGCTCAAAAGAAGATATACAATGTTATTGCTGTAAACACTTAAGAGCCTATGTAGTCAATGCCTTACAGTGTCCTTGTTTCAGTCACGTACTGTGTCATCAATGGACAACTCCTAAAATTACCGACAACCTTTTAAGAAAACACAAACCTCGAATGCAATTTTCTGTGTGATATGCTCCTGGAAAATATTGTTGATGTTTACATTATTTCGATAATAATAATATTTTATGTTTGCTAATGAAGGATAAGTACAATGCTCCTTATACAAAAAAAATGTTGATTCTAAAGGGTTAGAAGGATATTTATGAAGGTGTAAAAGGATTTCATAATTATGTGTGAAAAGAAATCAGTTAGCAGAATAAATCAAATGATGCGAACAGCTTTTAGTCAGATGCACTTGCCAGCACGATGCATAAAATACTTTGAATGAAGGATGAAATCGAGCATGTTTTATGACATAATGGGTCCAGCTGAAGTAAGAAGCTATTATGTTGTGATATCCAGCTGAATGAGCTATGGCCATGTAGCCAAAGAAGTAGGATCCAGATGTAGTTTGCTTTGCAGGACTACTGTATTTGGGACCACCTGTGAATACTTAAATGAAGGCAAAATATGAGAAATAAATCAGATAACTGCATGAATGTGTGTATGTGCATGTGCCTTATTATCGTATTCAATCACAATCCAATGGCTCAACTTGGACAGTGCAACGTTAACTTAGTGTTGTCCCTCTTGGGACAGTCCCTCTGTGTCTTAAAATAGACACTGATAGAAGAAAGAGTAGCAAAAAAACAGACATTTTGCAGTTACATCACAAGAAAGTATCATGAACAAGTATATGTGCACTTCACTCCTTATCATCGATTTTCTGGAAGAGGCAATATGTGATTATCACATTGTCTGAAAAAGGCAAATACAAGGAATGAAGGCCATGTAGGCTATAAGACGTGTCTGCAGTGCCAAACCCAGGCTTAAGTTATAATGTTCTGCCACATAAAAGGGAGGAGCACACCTGTATCACTGCATTCCTTGGTCACTGTTGAGGTTCGAGGTGTGTGTGCTGATGTGGAAGGGTTATGACTCATTTAAAATCACTTCATGATTCTCAGATGCAAGTCATTGATATCTAATTATCAGCTCGTTAAGTGAAACAGATTAGTTGATATTAAATGCACACCTTTGAACTTGGATGACCTGTATTGTCATATGTGCAACACAAGGGGGCGAAAATTTGCACAATCGTCGAAAAGTAGAGTTGAGTGGAACCAAAATATTCCGAGTTGAAAAAAAGTCCATCGAGTTCAGAAAAGTCATGGTTGCAGACCTCCTCACCTCTCAGTCCGAGCCGGTTATCATGCCTATTCATACAGTTGATTCTGTGTCACACTGGTGTAATTCAAGGTGAAGGAAAGTTTCTTGGCAACTGCATGAAGTGAATTGAAGCGACGAAACCGAGCCTACTGTCATGCCCCCGCCCCCGCCTCTCTCTCATTGGTCCCGTGTTGAGTGTGGGGCGGTAAGGTGTGGCCTTGCACTGTTCGCCTCCTGCAGGGCGCTCACAAGGGAATAAACAGCCAGAGCCAGATAGAAACCGTTGTGCGCGACCGCTATTTCGTGCTTTTTTTCCACTATATTCAATGGGCACCAACGTGAAGTAAAATGAAAAGTTTGTGGAACTTTTAGTTATCGTCAGGCCAAACGTCGGATACGTGTTGTCCTCATTCGACTATAAATAACGCATTGGAGAGCGCACTATGAGGCCAGTGTGCTGTGGTCTCTCTCTCTGAAGCTCTCTCTGCTAACAGGTGGATTTCGGATATTTCCTTAAGGTAAGACAACGCTGCTGTCTGTCATTAATGCACAGTTGTATGTGACAGGTGGTAATTCTTAATTCTGCAAAATCGAATGTGTTATTATAAGGGAGAGACAAGGGTTTCTATAAGAACTGTTTATTCAAGCACCTTGTCTTATTACTGTCTACCCACAGGGTCATTTTAGTGGATAGGTTTGAAACTCTTTTGTTCCTTTTGAACCTTGGATGGAGGTGACAAAATAAGGAATATTTACGTTTAAAAACAAAACAAATGTGTTATCCTACAAAGTGTTGTTATTCATGCGTGGGCGTCAATTACATGTCCAACCTGTTATAAAACTCAAAAAATTGAATTATTTATTTAGAATTGCAACATAAAAAGTAGGCTACCGTCAACACATCAATCACAGACAGAGACTACATGAAAACCCATTGATTTACAACATTACACCCTCTCCATTCATTCATACATTAATAATTACTGTTTCATCCTCAAGTCAGTCAGGACAGCCTCAGCTGGTGCTCCATGCCCTCAATTCTTTTGCATGTCATTCACATAAAAAAGTATAGAAATTGCTCGTTAAGGCTGCAGCAGCTGCCACTTCCAGCTGCTTGTGTGTCATCAGATCTTCCTTGCTTTTTGAAGACAGCAAGAAGAACCAGACGTCATAGAGGTCAAAGAAAAGAGGAGCATTTCCACTCAGTGTCCCACATGTTCCAATAGGGCTCAGCTGACCAGCGTCCAGCTTTCAGAGAACCGAACGCGCACAGACCTCGCTGTGTTTTCAGTCTTTCAGAGACATGCAAGACAGCTCGTCAAGAATTTATGATGTCTGAAAAGTGTGGAGATCTCAGTGACTGTCGCTGTGGATAATCTCGCTGAGTTGCCAACAGCATGTGGAGATTGAAAGACGGTGACATAATCTGGGACATAAACTGTTCCTGGACAGTTGCTGTTTGGCCACTGGCGCTTATCACACTTCGATTACTGAACCAGTTTCTCTTGATGAGCCACAAGACACCCTGTTACATGTTCAGTAGAAAACTGGGGGGAGGAGGAGGAGAACAATGAGTGTGCACGCCTTTTTCCTGTGGAGTTCCCTCAATGTGTTTTCCATTCACTTACTGTAGTGAAGGCCTTCGGTCACTGAGCGACTAGGGGTCCATTACTTTTCACACAACACTCTCCATTGTTCCTCTCCCAAGTCCTGCCACATTGGCATTGTGGGAAGAGCAGGAGGACAGGGTCGGAGGGGAGGATGTGTCAGATTTCTCTGAGGATGGAGCACTCGCTGTTTCCTGTTTTGCGCTCTACGCTGGTGAAAGCTCTTCCTGTTCATGGAAGAGGACAGGAGGTCGAGTGTGCCCCTTTACACAGTAGCAGCTTCTGAAATAAACGTCCTATAGAAGGTGGTCGGTGGCCGCAGTACATGGATAGCATGGCGTCTTGTTTTCAGTCAGAGTGTGCATTGTCTTCTGCAGGTATCTGAGGCCTCATCATGCCAGTCCCCCCACCGCCTCCCCTGGCTCCCCTTCCTCCACCGCCGCCCAGCGCTGCCCTGCCACCGGTAAGACTGTCTCTCTCTAACATTCTCTCATGCAATTGCAAACACTCACTCGTGTCCTTCTCGCTGACCATCAACCATCACCTGTAGGTTATTTACATTATTGATTAAGGTAATGCACACATACACACAGTAGGGCAGACAGCAGACTCTCAGTAGCAGGAGAGTGTTATGTTTCCACAGCAGGCGTTCAGTGTCCTCATGTTAAATGAGTCGCCACTGCCAGCAAACAAGGCCACACTGCAGGACACATCAATATGCTGAATGCTTTCACTGCATCTTCTTTCTTTCTTTATCATTTCATCAGAGGAGCTGATGTGAAGTTTAGAAGATGGTGTTGACGCCACACAGGTGTTCTCCCCCACTTCTGTTATGTAAAAAGATCACATCAAGTAAAACTTAAAACTCTTGAAAATACACTTAGTAGGTGCAAGTATTTATTATTTTTTCAACAATTTCTCTGTCGAGTTTTTGGGGGATTCAATGTTAGTCCAAGGTGTCGTCTTCAACTATCTTGCTTTGTCTGATCGCCTGTCCAAAACCCAAAGGAATTCAATTTACAATCATGTGAAATAGAAAATCACCACATGGAGCTTACAAAAGTGCCATAAATTATTAATTGATTATCAAAATAATACAATAGTATCCTGAAGTGGACCCTTACTGTAAGACAGAACACATATTGGGCAAAACACTTCTTTTTTTGTCTCTGTGTGACAGTGTCCGTCGGAGCCTCTTAAGCTCCAGTCTGGTGGAGGAGGAGGAGGAGGAGGAGGAGGAGGAGGAGGAGGAGGAAGGAATGCCCTGTTGGCCGACATCCAGAAAGGAGCCCGGCTCAAGAAAGTCACACAGGTCAACGACCGCAGTGCCCCCGCCGTCGATAGTAAGAGCAACATCGATACCGCGCCACAAACATGCACACAGGCGCTCTCAGTTAAGACACTAAACGATACTCGCATGCATCTGGTGTCACCGACTTCTAGTAATTCTCGATGTGGAGCTCAGAGGAAAGTGATTTAGTGGTGTATGTTGTAATGTGGTGTGATACAGTGTATGCGGGTAAAAAGAGAGTGGGGACAAACAGGAGTGGCGCAGGTAGTATTTAATGTAGTTCTTTGGGAGCATGTTGTTTCTCTTTGACCTATATCTAAGAATAGACACACACCAAGTGGACTCTTCAGGACGGAATGTCCTACAGCGGATAAAGATGGAGGCAGAATGGGAAACCGCTACAGTGTATATACAGTGGCAAACACAATAGGCAACACATGCATTGTATCTACAGTATACAACAAGATTTATATAATAATGTTTATGTATGTGCTGTTTATGTAGCCTTCAGTATTGTAGTCTGTGTGCATTCAACTGCATGTTTCGTCTGTTTGCAAGACAATTTTTCTGAAAACATTCGATGCAAAGATCATTAAATGTAACATTAAATCTGAGTAATAGGTGAAAATTCCATCAGAAACATTTACTTTATACTTGTTTGCCATTCTGGTAATGCATATGATGAAGATGCTGGATCGTTGACATATGGATGTCAGGGTATCATCATATTTTAACGATTTGTTCATTAGTTCAAATTACATGTAAATAGCTTACAGTACATTGTCAGTTACATGGAGCCAGGCCAGTTAAAACAGACTGCTCTGTTTTGTGAAAAGGTGTGTAGTTGGCCCTCGGGGAGATCAGGTTCATGCCTGAACTATTGCGTCTTCATAGTGTCGTTTCAGAATTAAGAATAAAATTCCCACGAGGCCTGCAGAGCACATAAAGTCTTGTAAAACAATAGCTTTATGTAATGTGATAAACATATAATGATTAAAAGACATCTAAAGTCATTGTCATTAATCATTAGTAATGAATGTGTAATTGTGTTGTTCCCCAGAGCCCAAGGCCAGCACTGGAGATGTATCCAGCAGTGTTACTGCTTCCCAGGGCTCATCAGGAGGGACGGCACCCATGGCACCCTCACTGGGTGGGCTGTTTGCTGGAGGGTTCCCCACTCTCAGGCCTATAGGACAAAGAGACCCAGCCAGCAAGACCCCAGGTGGGCGCAAATTGTCTTGCTCTGACTAAATCTAAATGTTATTATATACTATATTGACCACTCAAATGAATCCTCTTTTTGTATGTGTGTGTGTTTGTCAAAGTGTCCCGATCGAGCTCCTCGGTCTCCGTAAAGCCTCTGTGGAACCCCCCCACGCCAGCAGACACGAGCAGCGTCTCCGAGCCTCACAGGACGGCGGAGCACCGAGGCTCCGTCCACCGTCCGCTCGCGCCCTCGTCCTCTGCACCTCCCTCCCCCTCTCACAGCGGCAAGCACCCACCTTCTTTCCCCGCTTCCTGTCCCCCACCGCCTCCACCCGCCCCGCCCTCTGCTCCGCCCCCGCCTCCCCCACCCCAGGCCTTCCATGAGCGGCCGGCCAACAGGCCTCCGCCTCCGCCTCTCCCCTCCTGCCCTCCTCCTCCACCCCCGACCCAAGTCACCAAGCCCACCTGGCTGCCCATCCAGCACTCCTACCACACCATCATCTCCCAGCCCTCTACTCCTCCTCCTCCGCCTCCTCCACCTTTCCAGCCTCCCTCTGCTGTTCCAGGAGACCGCTCCTCCGGTTGTTTCTACCCTCTGCCCCCCTCCCCAGTGCACTCTGAACCTTCTAGGTTCACCATCCTGCGGGACAGCCCACTGGGACCTCCTCCCCCACCTCCTGCTCCCCCTCTACCAGCTTCTTTCAGCCCCAGCTGCCCGTCCACGCTCCCCCCTCCCCCGCCCAAGGTGGCAGCAGTGCCCTCCCCAGCCATGCGCTCTCTGCCTCCCTCGTACCCCTGCAACGCTCCAACCCGACGTCCGCCTGCTGTGCCCAGAAGTGCAGGTAGGAGCACACCAAGATGAGAAATTGTCTTTTTTCTCGCCCATGATCTTTCTGAAGAGGTAGATGAAAAAAATAACCTGCTGGCATATTTGTTTGAAGTGAGCTTTTCAAGGCAGTGGTTATTGAGATGATTTTCACTCATATTCAAACACTATGTACAGCCATAAGAATGGCCCGTAGGACGGAGCCAACCTAATGAACTGATGATGTAAATAGGCACAAACAAATATATTAGATCTACAAGAGAAAGACAATGGATTTTTTGGAACTCTACAGGAGTGGCACAAGTTAGATCTTAGGCGTTGGAAGATGATTTTCATTTGAGGAGGAAAGAATTGAATCATTTATTTTTTTAATTTATTTTTTACTTCTATCAAATATTTGCTTTGTTTTTTGTGGAATACTGTTATCTGAAACCATGAAAATAACTCTTGGTAGAACTGTTCACAACTCATGGACATATGTAACCTCAAGAGAGGTTTAAGTAGACATACATAACTGTCTTTTATAGGGTCACAAGCCAAAACAGGTTGGAAACCACTGCTATAAAATAGTCCGATAAAATATCGTCTGGAGAGAGATCCAGTTCTCAGAGGAGATGTGGGATTTTTCTTTTCAACTCAACAAAAATACAACAAAGTTTCATCCCAAGCAAGCAGCAGCAACCTCTACAAAATAAAATGTACATATGAAATAAGTAACATATACAAAATATGTATCTAATATTGGTTGAAATCTGTGGCTATATACTCATATAAACCACAAATATTAATTCACAATGTATTTACTCACAATATTTCTACTGGTATATATATATACCAGTAGAAATATTTCTGTTAGTGGTGTCGGAAACTTGTATGAAACTTCCAAACAAGTATAGGTTGTAAACCGTAGCAGCTGTTGCAGCTAGTTATTAAAACAGGGTTTGTGTTGTGTCAGCGGCATTTCCAAGTCAATGCTTATTTTTTGAGACAATGTGTGAATATGATCTTGCTGCCTCAGTTATCATAAAAGAGCACATTGGATTTGGATGTATTTTTCATGATGTGCATTTGATTGATGTCTGACACCCCTCTGACTCCTCTGACGTTGTCACACATGGTAACAGCTGTGGGTCGGCTGGCTCCTCCCCCAGCTCCCCCTGCACGTTCTCCCTCTACGGAGCTGTCCTGCCGCATTCCTCCCCCCCCACCACCACCTCCCCTGCCTCCATTTAGTCTCAGGAATGGACACCTGCACAGCCTGGGTGAGTGTGTCTTACGGTTATATATCTGTGTTTATCTTACATTTTAGAGGCCTTTTAGTGGATTTTCTTGTCCAGAGTGGCTTGATATAATAGTAAAAGTACAATAGTGTAATTTTATTACATTTTATTTATTTAATTCATTAGAATTTGCGCTATCACAACATCCGATTTTCACCGCACGATTATAGTGGCCAAAAGAATTCACACCAACGATATCATTGCGATATGTACAGAAAATTGGAATTATAATAATAATGCTCTAATTCATCTATTGTGCATTTAGTCTCATTTTAGGCAAATAAAGAGGTGCTGGATTATGAACATGATATTATCTTATTAGTGTTATTAACATGGTGTCTATATTTTATTTTAAAAGTAAATCATGGTTAATGTATTTCCTAAATCATCATTAGAAGTAAAACAGAGCTTCGCTGTATTAACAAAATAATAGCTTGTAATAAAGAAGTGCAGGATAAAGTGATTTCTCTTATTGATGATGAGAGACACTCCTGCATGTGGACAATATGGACTGCTGTTTTTAAAGTAACGGCAGGTTAAGAATACCTTTCACATGCACTGAGCAGTAGAAAGTACAACTACCTTGGAAAGATGAAATAAAGTTTTCACTCTATTTGTAACATACCATTATGTTGTTTTATACTTTTATTTAATGGGATTTATATCTTGTGGATTTGATTATCATAGGAGCAATGTAATTTAATTGTATTGATGAAAAGTGTAACTCTCAGGGTCAAAGTGCTGTAGAGGGAAGGAGACTAGACAAAGGTTGTTTTTGGATGAAAAGGTGAGGAGTTTATTTTTGAAGAGGCACATTAGGGAGGTAGAGTTTGGATAACCTTCAATTTGAAAATGAGAACAAAATGGCAGCCTTTGATTGTGTCTTTACTGTCTATTTAGCAGATGATTTTGAATCCAAGTTCCAGTTCCACCCCGTAGAGGACTTCCCCCCTCCCGATGAATTCAAGCCTTTTCCTCGGATCTACCCCAGCAAAGAAAACGGAGGTAGCACCACAGCACACTCGCTATTTCTCTTCTCCACCCATGACTTCAGTGCCATCTATTGAGTCTATCTTCCTCTTTCCTCTCTCCTACAGTGAACCCCAAACCACCTGGGATTAGGACACACCTCAGATGAGTCCAGGCCTCACCCTGTCCTTCATCCCCCCCCACACACACACACATATCAGGCAGTTAGACTCAACCCTCCTCCTGCTCATGACAATAACATAACTGTCATTGGCTTATTTGGTTGCAGGCTCTGTGTGTATGTGTTGTTTGTGTTTAGTGTGTGTGTGTATGTGAGTGTCAAACAGGGTCCCGTCTTATACTGACTATGTGACCTCTGACTTTTTCCAGTGTGGAATGTTTTGAATGTGTTTGAGGAGGAGGGCTCTCCCTACTCATGTTACATTCACACACACACACACACACACACACACACACACACACACACACAGTGTCTTCCAGCAGTTATATTTAACATGACACTTGACACAATTTGTAAGCATTTCAAAGAATAGCATATTTTGATTTGATGTCATGATCTGTCCCTTTATACAGTAACACTTTCAAAGTCTGCATGTAACTCAGAAACATTCTGAAACACACAGATAGTAAAGCTCTGTGGTCCAGCAGCAACTACTGTACAAGTAGTTCCTCAAGTGCTTGTATACAATGACCGTCTGTATATAGCCACCGTTAGCAGACTGTAAAACTCATCTTAAACTGAATGTGAAACACTTAGATATGCTAACCTCGAGGGTTCATATAGTGGTGCGCTCCTGTTTGTGTAATTATTTTTTTAAATGCATCTGCAAAAGTGTTGAGAATACACTGACATTTTAGAAGTATGGATGAGTTTTAAGTTACACTGAGGTGTTATGAATAATGAATGAATGAGGTTTCCTTTCTCACTGTATTAACAAATACTGACACCCGTGAAGACAGTGCCACCTGCTGGTTCAATGTGTACAGTATTACAAGGTGTGACCACCAAATAAACCACAGTATTTTGTTAAGAATGTTGACTTTATTGATCACATTGGTTGTAAAATACGTAAAAATCAACCCTCACCAGAATGCGTTTACCCTGAAGAACCGTGAGGCTATAGAAACTGAACCGTCTAGAGATTCTAGTGTGTGAAACATCACTTTGTCCTTTCAGATAAGTATTCCATGGATTGTAGCTCGTAGAGAGAACTATTCATAGTTAGATAACTGAACTGTCCGAGACACAGTAGGCTAAATTTGTGAAAGAATGAGAGATCATGTATGTTGCTTATGAACAGGGCTGAACAATATACCCTTTCAGCATCAACACTGCTGTCTGCATGTGCAATGCACCTTTCTCACGGTTGTTCTCACATGGCAGACAACTGTCTCTAATAATAATAATAATAATGATATTGGCTGCATTCCATTTAGGTTTACCAGCGCCAGGGCCTGAGTACTGTGTATGCTGGTTTACTGGAAGAACAGAATATGAAACAAGAGGGATTATATTCTTGGTTACACCTGCTTTTCCTGCCATGTCAAGATCACCAAAGTTCACATTTTCATGACTTAATTTAAACTCACAATCTTATTATACAAATAGACTGGTTTATCGTACAGAAAAAAAGTAAAGCACTACTTATTTTCTGATAGACCCCTAAAAAGTTAAACTACATTGATCAGGTTAATTTTTTTAAGTAAATAAAGACCAATAAGGGGAATTTCACAGCCAAATTTGGTTATTGTTATCTACTCACATTGCCTGCCCACAGCATGCATTGCAACTACAAGCGGAGATGTTTAAAGACAACATTTTTGTGGCTGCGTCTATTTATTTTGTATAAGGTGCCATATTTCTAACGCTTGATTTTGAAGTAATCCAGTATTTCAGATTATTCACTTTTTTGGTAATCCAATGGATTACGTTACTAATGACAGGAATTGCCATATAATTTGTGTTCAGTAACTGACGACATTTCAAAGTAATTTAAACTAACCATGTATGAACAGTGTGCTCTTGTAGAAGAAAACACACAAAAATGCAAAGAAGCAAAACATCACCGGGACTGACTGGTTGGCCTCCAAGCTTCACACCAGACCAAAACACTGCCTCTATAAAAGTGAAATAATTTGTTGACAATAAAACTCTGTGCCAAAAAATGCCCACCACAAATCAATGAAAACTGGAAGACAACGGACGAGGGAGTGGTTGGTGGGACAGGATGAGGATTTAAAGTTCATCGTGTTTGTAAGTAAACTCTCTGGAGGATATGAAGCCGTCTTTGTTCTCATCCTCTTTGGCAAAGATGTCTTCCATCATGTTCTCATGTAGAGTGTCATTGGGAGCGTAGCCGTGACGCTCAAACTCTTTCCTCAGATACACTTTCACCTGGAAGATCGAGAGTGAGAGGCGGGCGATTAATGAGGCAGAGACAGGTTGAGATGGG